CACCACCATGCAAAGATCCCCTAAAGTGGCACATGTAGCCTACAAACTTTGATATAGTTATCATATCCATAGCCTATTCAACGCATAAGAACTGCAGGACAACTGATAAACTACAATAACCCTATAAAAAACGTAGCCATTTACAAAGGGAGTTTGTCTAAAATGAGCAATTGGATGGATTTTAAGATCCCTTAGTTAAACCCTTTGGTAAAGATGTAAGCGAACCGTCCTCTGACTGCTGACAGTCTGATAAACTGAGGAAGAAGATTGGAGTGAATGACTGTCGGACACCCATAAAACTGACTTCATGATCGTGGTCACAGTGAGCAACATTAGCAGACACTGACAGTGAGTTTCAACATAATGTATAATGATTATTAGACTGAAAAGGTTGTTTATGGTTACTATTATTTTTGTTTTACACTGTTAGCCTACTGTTTAATACTATTTATAAGGGATCTCACTGTTGGTATTTTATAATTTAATTCATCCAACGCTCAATTTGAAATTGCAGCCTTGTTATAGTATAGGCCTATGCAGATTTATATTTTAAAAGGTATTCATATTGTAATTGGTTATGCTGGCTGTGATGTTGTAATTATTCAGTTCTTTATGAAGTAGACCTTGATTATTGTGCTACATGGCTTCCTCAGTCCACAATATAAATAAATATGCAGCAACAATAATCAATCATTTCCGGGATAATGTTAGTTTTTAATGCAAACCATTTTTATTTGGTTTTATCGACATTTTAGATGGAACAAATGCGTTATTTATTTCCCTCTGCCATTTAAACGTTCTTTCATGTTCTTACAAACTTCCAGTTAACATTGTTGATTTTAATGTGTGCTTTTATTTTAGAGAAAATGCTGGGGGGGAGGGGCTTCTCAATGAGGGCGGAGTTAAATGTATAACCCCGCCCTCGTTAAAGTGACACCCCCTTTATTTCTCACTTCAGTCAGAAGGTACTTGGCCCCGTTGGGAACGACTGGTTTATAGAATAAAGCAAGCTCCAACCTTTTGCAACCAACAGATGTGACAATGATATGATGATATTGTATTCTACTATACGAGGTCCAATTGTATACAAGACATTCAGTCAGATATAGGCCTTCTCTTAGAAATCTTTGTTATTCCAGTTTCTCACTCAAAGGCAACACCACATTAATGGTAGCTGTATGCATAATTCATAATTTATTCACTACATGCAGTATGTTGCCATTGCAAAATAATGTTGTTCATTTTCATCATTTTTACCCGGAATACCTAACTGTGATTGACAGCTTTGGGCATTTTTCACCATAATAAACATTATAAAAACAGTTGTGGTCCTTAACAAGACTTATTGGTAAGAGGTGCTTGCAATACTGTGAGTTGTTTGTAAAGTATTGGAACGTGTTGAGTAACAATGCGGTAACAGTTTCCTTTCCTCCTAGCTGTCTCTGTCACTTCTATTTTTGGCTCCTGGCTCGTTGTACTTCTCCTTCAGCTTGTCTCATTTGACCTTGTTTCTTTATCAGTCTAGTTCTGTCCTCTCATTTGTACAAATCAGTAGAAGGATGACAAAGAAGAAGAGAGATCCAGAAGAGGGAAATGGAAGTAGAGTAAATGGAGAAGGGGCTGTAATTGAGGAACCTTGGGGTGGATAATCATTGAACCATTTCAACTTCTGCCCATAAAGCTATGAAGATTACATTTAACCCCCTAAACAAAACATAAAACACATGGTCTGATTTTTTTCTCTACTGCGATCATCTGACAGGCACCATCCCTGATAGAGCCATCTGCAACACAGTGTGGATTAGTCATACTGTTACTGTTGAAAATCAATATATTCTGGTCCCATGACAGTACTGGTGGCTATTTAAAAAATATGTCATTGGGCAGAATGCACCAAATACACACAACTACAAATGTATTTTGGGTCACTGTACTGACAACTGTTGTTCTTTCACCATTTTGATACAAAGTTTGTATGTAGTTTGTAATAACTCTACTGTGTAACGAAACTAGATGATTCCAGATACAGAGAGAGTAGGTTATTTTCCTCTACTGCAATCTCACATGTTTACACTAGAGGGAGTTGGTGCACATTTTATTCATTTTTTCACTGCATTTTTTTATAATCTGATTTGTTTCACGTTGACAGAGAGAAGATCCAAGAGTTCAAGACAGAGGAGAGTCTTCTTTAACATCTGAAGAGCCACATAATGGAAGTGAAATAGCTAGGTAAGCCATGTTTGACACATTGACCCTAAACCTTGATCCCTTCTCACTGGTCTCTGGTGTGTTTACATGCTTGTTAGGCATATGTCTGTGCAGTCATAATCTGACAAAAAGATGCACTCAAAACACAAGTTCATGCCTTTTTCTCTTCATAAACCCACGCCATTCACTCAACATGTGATCACATGACGAGATAGAGTGCGTACAGAGTGGTGATAATCGCTCTCCTCAGGCTATGTCTGAGGTCATCTTGATGGGACACAAACCATCAGAGGGCAGATGTTATGAGCAAAAGGAACACTTTCATCTCCTCTGTGAAATCCGTGTGTCCAATCTGATAATGACACAATGACACACTTTGCTCACACTTGAAGGAAAGACACAGGAAGAAAAGAAATGTATCCTGGAACTGTCTGTCTCTGTGTGACCCTGTTTTTTCTTGACAGCCTGCACAGTGGCTAATGGCTGTTCCCTTAGTGTCATGTGACTTGTTAGAGTATTCACTTAATGATAAGCTTCTTTTAAGTTATTGCTGCTCTCAACAAGACTTCCATGCACAGTAAAGACCAACATTATAAGACTTAAAGGTCCCCTATTATACAGTTTTTCATCAATATATTACAGGTCTCAGATATATACAAAACATGTCTCTGAAGTGTTTGGCTCGAAATACCAAACAGATCATGCATAAACCCCTCTGTTTCAGCCCTGTTTCAAAAGTGCTGATTCTGTGTCTTTTACTTTAGATGAAAATAAGGAGCCACTCCCCATGCCCCTCTGCGAGATATTTGGTTAAAAAGAACAAAATGGTGCTCTAGGAGGAGATTCAGGTGATAAGGTGGGGGGGGGGGGTTACCTTGGTTGGTTATTGGCTAATGGTTACACAAGCCAAAACATCGTTATGACATCATAAAGTGGCCAAAATCTGATCAGCTCATTTTCAGACAGGTTTTTATATAAATGGATCAGGACAAAAAGAGAGTGAATCTTTTTTCCTGAAACTTTCAGAATCTCTTTTCACAGAGGGGACGCATGTTTATGTATAAAATACATGAAAAAGTGGATTTTGCACAATAGGTGACCTTTAAATAAAATAGTAATGTTGTTACAAGAGGTGTATCACTGTTATATTGCAATCTTTTCAAAGTCAAACAACGAATAAACCAATACGTTTTGACCCCCTGGCTGATTATGAAGCCCCTTGACGTCCAGTTGGATTTATAGGGGAAAGGAGAGGGGGGGTCTGTGTGGGGATTAGAGAACAAAAGGTTCCTTCTCTGTCATCAAAGAGGATCTGCTCAAAACTCATCCCCTGCTCTGTGGCGACAGCTTCTTATTTTGGAGAGAGGGAGTGACGGCTGGAGGGAGGTTTGGCTAAAGTGGGAGAGTTTGATGGCAGGGGATGCAGATTTCAAAGTAATCTTTAACTTTAAGCCCTGCAGTCCCTGTGAAATGAAGCCCTCTGCTCCAGACTCAGTGTTGCCTATGGCTCCCAGTGGAAACCTGCCACCCCTCCTTTTTTCTCAAGCTTTTGTCACGGTGGCATTTAAGTGGCATTACTCACCGACTGGATGACCAAGTGAAGGAGTCCCTTTGAGAGATCTGAAAGAGATGGATTTTTACTCCCGAGACCAGTGTCGCCTCTTAAAACAACACTAAGTGGAGATAAATACCTACTGTGTTTTTGTGATACAGCTAAACTAAATGGAGACATCTTGTTAAATCATAACCAATATTATAATAACACAAACCAAGCAAATTGACAGCAGGATAAACACTATTATACTTTTCTTATATAGGAAATAATGGGTGATAAGAGCATGTGTTTTAGTCCTATTATTATAAAAGAGATCGACAGAAAATAAAGTAGCAATTATTTTCATCCCACACTTGCCTGTAACCCAAAACCTTTGAGAGTGATCTGGGCGTGGACCAAGTCGTTAGTGGAGTTTGTATGTTCTTGCTGTTTATATGACTATAAAAGCAAACTTAAGCCCATCATATGATTTAGGACCCCTAGGAGGTCATCTGCATCTATTGTTTAAATACTTTACAACACTACTTATTTTGGCCCCATACCCCAAAGTTATTTCTCTCATCTTGTGAAGCCTCATGTCCCCTCAGGGTCATTGGCCCAGGATCCCCTGCTGATCTGCTCCTCTGCAGGGAGTCAGTGTAATCACATAGAGGCAGTTATGGGGTTAGCAGGTTCTGTCATTGGCACAAGAGGTCATGTTATTAATAATGCTGGTGGCACAATGAAATTATAATAAATCAGTTACATAGCAACACGTTGACACCAACGTACAGTACACCTGCTTGTACAGAAGCTTCCAAGCACCCTATATGAAGTCTGTTGTGTAAATAATCTTAGTGCAGGGAAACAAGTGTGGGAGGAGATGAGCAAGACAGTGTCTGCTAATGTTGCCATTAGCAAGACAAGTCAAAGTGCTCTTTCTGTGATTTTAAGCCTTTAGCATAAGCATTTGTCATGACACGCCTGAGCACATGATCACAGTTGCATTTTACTGAAACCAGCAATAACTTAAGGCTAATGGGCATTTCCTTAAATGGGGTCCAAATAACAAATATTGAGGTTAATCCAAGGTGCATCCTGTGAAAGGAAAGCTGTAAGAAGGCAGAGAATCTTAACACATAACATCCAAATGATTGTATTGTATTGTACTTTTACTCTGTATGCTATATTAGTAGATACTGTAGTATTGCTTCTTTAATGATGCTCATACAACAATCCGTTTGAATCAAAATAGGTATTGTTTTGTAAGAGACATAATTTATAAATTAATTACAAAAAGCACATGTACCTTATAACTTTAACAATAACTCAAGTGCCCCAGTAAGTCAAGAGAGTGTGACAGTGAACCAGCATGCACAACACCATAACCCTGAAACACAAACAGCTAAATGGAATCCAGCCAACAATCATTTTCATTTTAACACCTATCCTTTTCCAAATTCAAGTCATTCATCCTTCACAAACACTGAAGCATCTATATATCATATGGGCACCTAAGCACACTGAAATAAATAAACACATTTCCCTTTAATTATACTAATCTGGCTAATGTCAGATTTGCAGCCAGATGATCACATCACATTATAGTGAGGAAACTGCTGGCTTCAGTTTCAGGTCTGTACTTCAACATGCACATTAACCAAGTGAGGATGAGTGAAAATGGGGCTAGGACACTGGCAACAAACAGACAGATAGGGCCGACGGGCCACGACGTGTGATTGAAGTTATGCACAAAGATGAGCCCCAGAAATAAGAGCACCACCATGGACATGAAAGAAAAGATGGCGCACACGCAGCCGGTCATGAACGCAATTTGTTTGCAAGTCTGACAGCTGGCGTTGCTCTCCTGGGAGGTGGCTGAATACGCGGCTGAATCTGTCTGGACATCTGTGAAGGATGAGTCCAAGGGCTCGTGATTTTTAAGCGGGAGCGACTGAGTCAACTCGCTGTTGTCGGGGAGGTTGTGCACACGGTACTCCGGCACCGGAGTTCGGTGGCGACACACGGGGCAGCCGATTCTCCATCCACGACCCCCACGGAGGTGCAGAGCGTCGAGGCACTCATGGCAGAAGGTGTGGGAGCAGGCCAGCAGTTTGGGAGTGTGGCGGCCCAGGTCGAAGTAGTTGTAGCATATTTTGCACTCGTATTCCTCGCTAGGGAACGAGTCGGTCACGTCAGGCGGAGCTGAGCCACACTCACCTCCTGTAACGACCGCCTCCGCCATGTTCCCGTAGAATAGGGCTACCGAAACAGCATTATTTCACGAAGATACATTTGAATAAACAAGCACAATCATACTGTACAGTATTTCCTGGTTGGAAGATGGCCGTATTTCGATAAAACGTTTTCATGTGAGAAATATTATCTCTGCATGTCCTATGAGTCAGTCCAGTCGTCTGTCGTTGGTCTACCCGGTTGTGTCCAAGTCCGATCACAGACTTGTTGCGTAACCGGCCCGGGGCACAACCCGTGGGCAGGGACAGACTATGGGCCTCATTGGGATCATATTACCAGAACTAAACCCCGTTTACCATAAAATCATCCAGGCGGCAAACGTGTTCAAATTGACTTTCCAATATGGTCTGTGTCACCTGGTTCATTTGTCACAAGTGTGGGTCATGTGTATACGGTGGATTAAATAGCCCTATTTAACCGTATAATTAGAATGTAGTGCCTGCAGCGACAATAGACAGCACCTTTCGTTTGTCCCGTAGGCATTTCAGCACCACATGCAGTGGACAGCGCCGAGTAGTGCAATCAGCAGTGACACCCTGAGCTGCAGCTAAATATTCTAGAAATAAGTCATATTGTTTGAAGTGCTGTTATTTAACTTACAAGATGAAGCACATCATATTTGCTAATGGTCTTTTGCTGTCCCAAATGCTGCCCCATTTTCTCCACACTTTAAAACTCCCTGTCTTTACAACCACTCTTAATATGACCAGTTAAAACTTGATTTTGAATCTAAAAACACTATCTGACCACCATACGCATACTTTTTTATGTCAACATTTTGATTACATTTTTCAAGATGGATTAAACCCTGCAGGCTCAGGTTGCCCTTACCTTGGGCCAGATACACCTGTATATCACTTTTTAATGACTGTACAAAGTGTTGACAACCCCTGCAGCATCCATACCATAACTAAACAACTGTCAAATGTCATCTATGGTTTCGTGGTCCATAGAAATGCACTTGGAAATGAAAGCAGAAATAATTTTATAAATTGATTCCCCTGCTGGAAAATCAATTCATTTGGGGGATTGAATGTCAAGTGTTAACTCTTCTCGTCCGACTTCCTCTCCTCTTGTTTGTTTTAAAACCTTGTCTGCTTAACAGAAAGTATATTGTACAGCCTAATTTCTATTTGATAAAAAAAAGATCAACTGCTGTAATTGCATCACCTCGCCACACATGATAGCACGCAGTGAGATCTATATAAAGTGAAGTTATGTCTTTCAAGATTTTTTAGAATAGAGATATATGTCCCTGTAAAATGATGTTGGTGGGTCTCATGGTGTCAGACAGAGCTTTATGGTATTTCTCCGAGAACATGTGCCCTCTTGTGGATGAATGTATGCATGCCTGTTTGTGCAAAAAGAATATAGGGCTGCTAAGTAGCATATTGTGTCTAACTGGATTACGGTCTCATACAATTACATGCAATAATGACATTTAACGTTGTAGTAACTGTAATGAGTTACAGTTATTTAAAGTAGTAATCCGATTAATAATGCTTTTGAAAGCACTTGTTCAATTAGACCTGCTTTAAAGCACGTTAGGATTATAAAAAGATAATAGGTGTGATAGAAGACAAGTTATCATAAATTAATCATGGGATGAATGATTGTTGTTGTTTTACTATGCAAATATGTACGTTTCAGTAAAATAATGTTAAATATAGTCCAGAAATGTTTACATGAAAGAAGTAAAATAATGTGAAAACAGTACAGTTTGCATAGAACCCAATTATGTTCTAAAAACAAAACTTATATGACATCAAATGTTGGATCCCTGTATGTTGCGTGATGGCAAACTGCAAACATTGAAAGCAAAGGGCAGCCTTGTGTTTTACATGTTTTGGTAATTTCCAAGCAAAAATAATGTGCATAATATACAGCCAATTGAAAATCACCTATCATACAATATGTTTCACAGTTGCAAATTGACTCACAACATAACCTTGTACTGGATATGTCATAATCTAAAAATATATTATTGCTTTATATCAGAATGCATCCAGTTTCTTTTGGGAAGTGTGAAATCCACTTCATGGGGTTGTCCCAACACAATATACAATGTCTTCCTTGCCTCTCTCTCTCTCTCACACACACACACACACACACACACACACACACACACACACACACACACACACACACACACACACACACACACACACACACACACACACACACACACACACACACACACACACACACACACACACACTCACTATTTTCCATCCTCGCTAGCGGAACTATTAAAGTAACCCTACATCCCCAGAGGCTGTATGTTAACAAATGCTCTCCTTCTCTTTTCTCTCTCTCACCTGGGTGCACCTTTTGGCTCTTTGTTATGATAACCGCACTCAGTTTGACTTCCCACTGAATTGTTGTGGGCTGTATGTATTTGATAAGATCAAACACATGAGAAAAACAGTGCCTCTTTTGGAGATAGCTTGTAACAGAAACATCCTAAGGATAGTAATCACAGAGTGGATTTCCTTCTTCTGCAGATGCAATGTTTTCTGAGATGCTTATCTAAATGTCAGCCTGGCCATTCTTCTAATCTGTTTCTCATACTTCACACAATGTCCGCTCTGTAGTCTTTGTGATGCAAAGCTCTTTTGAATTGTCACTGAACTGCTGCAGGCTCATAAAGACAAAACATCAAACATAAATGATGATATATCACAAACACTAAAACTATAACATCAGATGCGATCCAATTCATTTTAAAGGGAATTATAACCGCACTTCATGGTCATTTCTATCCAATGTTAACATAGGACATAGTGTGTTGCCTCAAATTAGAATTGAATGCAGGAATCATTTACATTAAAATAAATAATGGAAAACCCTATGGACTGTGGACTTTATTTCAACAAATACATTTTTACCACATCTTTAGTTTAGGAGCTGTGTCTGCATGCCATGTGACCAAAAAATATTCAAGCACTTTTAAAAAATACATGAATCTGTATTTAGAATATTGCATAGAGAAACTGGCATAAGTAATCAAACTCTTTGTCGAATCCTCAACTATAATTAGACCATTGTGGGTGAGAACTAGAAACATTATAGCGCATTATTCAAAATTCCCTCACAGCAGTGGCATGATTCTCTGAAGACTAATAAAGGTTAGGCACACGCTGTTTTACAACTAGCTGTTATTTCAACGTACTAAAACCTCTATAAAAACCCAATGAATAATGCAAATCAGGGTTATCCACTCAAGGTATCTGTCTTTCTGCTTGTGACAGTAGGCTAGAGTGTCAACAGTGTGTATGTTACATGAAGGAATGCATGACTGACTATTTTAATTGTGAGAATGAATTGAAGCTTCTTCATTTAGAAGTTTATTCCCTCTGGTTTATGGTTAGATAATCACTGTGATGATCTGATTCATTTTATCTATTTTTGATCTGATGGTTAATCATGAAGACTGAGCAGTATTGTAAGTTTCTCTGGAGAGAATGGAGATTTTTCCAGTGCTCTAAATAGGCCTAAGTCTGACGCACTGTAGGAACTTATCGCTATGGCCTCAGCCAAGATCAAAACTGCCTATGGGTTATCGGGCTATTTGACGACGTTATCTTTATTGGATGCAGAGCTAGTTATTCTGGGATTTTGATGTGTACAATTTCCGAAAAATACAGCCTGGAAAGCCCATGGCCCTATTCTGTGCGTGGGCCTAGTAATTTTAACACACTATTTATTTTCGGGGCCATTTTGTTCCTTTATTTTTTTATGCATTTTGTTCACCACCACAGCACATTTCTGCTCAGCTTACCCCCCACTAATTGATTTGACATGGTAGATCCAATATCCTTTTCATGATAGTCAAACTTTAGTATGATAACTTTCTTTCCCCCTCCCAATTCCTTCTTTTATGGACATATAATGTTTCCACATGTTCCAGGTCCACTACACCATTTTTTCACTAAGTCTTACAGGAGGAATACAAAATACACTAAGCAACATGCTGTGGGATACTGCACTGAAAGGAACAGAAGGGTGACTATAACGTTAGGTTAATAGTAACAATAATTTCAAAAAAGCTTAACAAATCTTATGTTACAACTCTTATCCCCCATGGGAAAATGCTGTTTTTTTAATTACTTTTTTACTGTCACAACAGAAGCACCAAACAACTGGTTTTGCTTATTCATATTTTCACTTAAGGTCCCATTCATTCTCTACATAAGGTTGTGACAATATTTTTTCTTTATCATTGTTATGTTTAGACAATATCTTAAGGTGATCAATTAATTGCCTGCCAGAATGATGCATCAGTTTGTCTAAAGAGGTCATGACCGACCAGTCACTCATGGTATGCAGGTTGTGGAGGCCTCTAAACAGAATCAGGCAGTATTATGGTCTTATTCCTGGGGGGAAAGGAATAAAATGTATCGGTCTATTAAACACGCCTAATTATCATAATTATCACAACTCTACAAGCTTCAGAAAAGTCAAATGATCCCTCATGTGGTTCTATGTCTATAATCGACCATTTGCACGGATGTGTTACAGCGCCGTGTGGCTGAGCCACGGGTCCGCGCAGCACCTATTGTTACATTCAAACAACTATTAGAAGACTGTGCAGAGCTTTTGCGTGGGGTGTGGTGGAACTCGTGAAAAAAATAGATCCTCCTTTGCACGCTGGGAATCCCCCGCATCCACACAATATTTCTCTCCTGGCCTCCATTGTGAGTGCTGTCTGTCTTCAGTAGCGAAAACCTTATTACGTCCTTTATCCTGGTGATTAAATAAAAACGAGCCAGTTCCTCTTTTCAAAGTTTTTATTCCCCAAATGTATTTTTTGACATAAAATAAAAATAACATCGTATGCAAATCAATTATAAAAACTGAAAGAGTTTGCATCATAAACCCCGTGTTATTAGTGGCGTAGCTATTTACAAAGTGACACAATACAAAGCTTTTGAGAAAAGAGTTATAGACTGATGCACCATGTGGACTCCATTGGGTGCAGAATCTCATTTGTTGCAATTAAAACGAAGTGGTGTTGGCTTCTAATGATCACAATGTAATGTTAATTATTATTATTATTAATAATAATAATAATAATAATAATAATAATAACAACAAACAGGATGTCATACTTTGTTCCTTTCAAATAATTGTTAAGTGTTGTCTTTATAATATTCCCTGTTTAAGTTATTATAATGTAGGTCGATGGGTAACATTTCCCCACGTGCTGCATATCTTTCTACTCAGAATTGAGAGCCCAGAGCGAGCACCTGCGGTGCACTACACCGTCATAAGTATCCTACTCGGTAGCTTTTTAACATGTCAAATAAAATCTCCACGCTCATAATATACAGTGATAATACCCCATATTTTTTATAAGCATAACTCAATGCGTAAACAATATGTAGTTTTGAATTAATTCATTGCATTTGTCAGTTTTCAAGGTGTTTATAACAATAATAATAAAAAGTTAAACACTGATAGGCTAAAAACAAACAAAAAATGAAACAACTGCATCTGTTTTAATATTTTACCAGATCGAAAAACAATAATTAATTTTCTTAATATGTTTAAGTATGGAAATGTAAAATATGCACCAATCTGTGTACATGTGTGTTGGGAAGTCTTGTATAAAGTTTGATAATCTTTGTATTCCGTGCAACGTTTAATAAATAGCTATAAGCTAAAAATACATTATTTATTAATTATTTATATACTTCAAGTATAGGCTTAATCATTCGGCACTCTTTTGTTTACTGTTTGGTACAACACTAAACGTTCTTGTAATAAACACCCAGTGTCCAGACACACGAGCATAATACAGATTTCCGGAAAATAAATCAGATATATATCCGTACAGGTAATTCCTTGCTTTTAATAAAAGTTGTGCAGTTGGTACAACCTTTCTTGCAGAAGCTTGTGACACAAACTGAACTCGTGAGGTCAATACAGACAGAAGGGAACTCGTGCTGTCCAATCACAGAGCTCCCCCAGCCCCTGAACGTCCGGGTCTTCGACCAATCGGGAGGCGCAGCGCGGAGTCGGAGGGGACAGCCACCACAGATAAAATGTTTGACTTCCATCCATCCTCTCAAAGCATCCCCTATATCCCCGCAGGACTGTTAGCGACCTGCACTCTGATTTACACTCTCACCTTAGCCCACTCCGGCCTCTGGATACCAGTCAGCCACACTGAGGGGGCTCCACTGTTTGTCTTGTTGAGGCAACCTGTTACTCGAGGAAACGCAGGCTGCATCGCGTCTGTAGAGAAGGCGAAATATTACAACAAACAAAAGGGTATTTGGTGGGATTAAAAGCGACACACAAAGGCAGCTTCGTGTTACCTGACAGAAAGTCAGGAATCATGACAGCGCTTGCAGGAGGGTTACCCAGGATGATGAGACCGACTCCTCACCAGAACTTCCCCCGGGGAGGATACTCTCTGGAAGGTAAGACCCCACCACCAGTTGCTGCTCCACTTTTCGATAACTTCAGTAAAGTTAAAAAACACGAGTTTTGAAACGATCTAAACCTGAAGAAAAATAGCCAATGAATAACGACTTGTTTAATCTTGTATGTTTTAAATAACAATTTATAAAACAGTAGAAATCCCGACTTGAGTCGTTATAGTGCCACATGATTTATCTTTAAAAAAAAAATTTAAATCGTTTTTATTTAGTCTATAATTGATCGCTTTTTATGTTTTATAATGTCTCACTCTATCACATTAATTTGGCAACACATGAGTGAAGATTTCTGGAAAGAAATGTATTTTGTGCTGTCACGCGAGATGCAACATTATATTTCTTTAGGTCTGTTGGATTTTTCTAGCCTGAATATTTTGCCTATAAAACGAACGATTTGTTTTATGTTAAATACGTTTGATCACACTTTAAAAGTGTTACTATTCGCGGATAATAATCTACAAAGCTACTTTGCTACAGTTTGTACGTTGTTTTCTTATCACTTAATATAACCAGCGTTCGAGTTTTGAAACCAACGAAACAAACATTGTTTTATTCTACAAGTTATGAGTATTTTATTAACTTAATGTCATGGACCTCTGTGCAGTGTCCACTCCGTTAGGACAGGGACGGGTGAACCAGCTCGGTGGTGTCTTCATAAACGGCAGACCTCTCCCCAACCACATCCGCCATAAAATCGTGGAGATGGCCCACCACGGCGTCCGGCCGTGCGTCATCTCCCGTCAGCTGCGCGTGTCCCACGGCTGCGTCTCCAAAATCCTGTGCCGGTACCAGGAGACAGGCTCCATCAGGCCAGGAGCCATCGGAGGCAGCAAGCCAAAGGTGAGACACATGTCCCGGTGCTATTTGTCTAAATGCATATACTAAAATGTGAGGAATTTGACAACCAATGTATCTTAAATTAAGAACAAGGTTGTTATGCGATTTAAATGTCACAGTCTCCACTGTTTGGGTGTAAAAAACACAAGTTAAATCAGTTTGACTTGAAGATCCTCTTCTATGATTGCATCTTTTGGAACATGGTGTTACAACTCTGTTTTTAACATATAATTCCAAACTTTATAATGTGGCAGTGTCTCGCCTTTAATGAGACTATTAAATATAAAACAAGTGACAAACTGTTCTTCTCCTCTTTCTCCCATCAAAGCAAATCGCTTCTCCAGAGGTGGACAAGAAAATTGAAGAGTACAAGAGAGAAAACCCGGGCATGTTCAGCTGGGAAATCAGGGACAAACTTCTGAAAGATGCGGTCTGCGACAGAAACAACGTTCCCTCAGGTGGAGACAGTTTCTGAAGCTGGGACGCATAGCTAATATTTAATTAGCTTGTAAAAATCAGACAGCATTTGTGAAAATAGTTTTTAATGTTTTTGTATTCCGTTGCATGCAGTTTATTTTTGTATTAATGTGTAACATCAATAGTAATTTCTATATCTATCTGTATTTATCTTTGTTTCACATTCTTTTTTGAAGTGAGCGCCATCAGTCGCATCATGCGGTCTAAATTCGGTGGAGGCGGTGATGATGATGAGGAGGATGATGAAGTAGTAAAGAGGGAGATGGAGGAAAGCGAACCACGGACAAAACACAGCATCGATGGCATTCTGGGAGACAGATGTAAGTGCAGCGTTATATATTTATTTTTTCTACAACAAGGGACATCTTTGCTGTGTGCTAGGATCCACAAATATGGCGAACTGATCTGGTTATGGATGGTTGATATTTGGTTGTCGGTCTCATCTTGGACGGAACAGTTTTACGACAATAGTTTTATAATAACACACACGAAAATTAAAATCCAAACAGCACTAATATAGCAAGAATTGTAACCTTATTTGTTTATATGGAATTTATATAAATGGCCACCCCTGTTTGTTATGGACCTGCACAGAAAAGTTAAATACATAAGTTCCAGGTGTTTACGCATGCGTTTAGGCCTTCACGTTTTAACAATAAGGGCATAGATTTTTTTTAAGTGGATAATCAAACATTTGTCTAACTTCCAAGCCTGAGAAACTATTTTTTACGCACAATCGGACACTTGAGGATGAACTTCAGGGGACAAAGCAGGGAGAGTCCATTGAAACCCACACCTCAGTTTGACGAGCACAAAAGCCAAACTCCAGTGAGCGGCTCAGTGGTGTACAAAAAGACGCCAGGGCCTTTCAAAATGGGGAAAGAAAGGGAGAAAAAACTGCGCTGACAAAAGGCCGGGAGAGGACATTATGAACCCGCAATGAGCGATGAATTATTCAGGGACACAAATAGGCCCAGAGCGACCTGGTTTATAGACTGCTCAAAAAAGTGGCACTTCTTGGGGCTTTTCCCCACTGTTTACAGTTTGTCATTCAAAAAAGATGAGAAAAAAACAGCTCGGGCTTTAGACAAACACCTGTTGATTTACGACCTGTTGTGGTCTAAGGAGTGTTGCCGCAAAAGGAAAAGGTTGCTGTTGGAGACATAATGCGGTTTGGAGTTAATTATTAATGACTTGTCCTTTGGAAACAATGGTGTTTGTCAATATCAATGAATATTGAGCGGATTTGTTTATTATTTCGTTGTTGTATGTTTGTTTAGATTCGTTTTTACTGTTACATTTTAAGTTAACAGAAAGAAAAAAAAAGTTAACGCATTTGGCACCATGGCAAAAGGCTCGTGATTTTCCCCTGCACTGTGTTAAATTCGCGTTATTAAATTGAACGGTATACCGTTACTTTTGCGCAAGGAGCTTTTGTCACAGTCTTTGCGCAGTGAGTGTGACGCCTTCAGCCAGTGAGCGCAGGGAAACCCTTCTCTCCACTAGATTAAATCCAAACCTTTTATTTCTCTCCACTTTCATCTCAGACACAGTCCGCCCCTTTCCTTTCAGCCTAGGGCGCACACATTCATGCAATATCTGTGGGCACTTCCCTCTCCCTCTTCCAGGCGAGACACTTCTCTAATACTGATCAGCCTGTTGACTTTTCTAACTTTTAAAACGCATATACTGCAAAGAACATTTCAAAACAAATAATATATTAATTAGGATGCACCCACAGCTTTTTCTAACATCCTCTGTAGAGTTAATTTTGTTAGTATTTTGGATGCAACGTTGAAAGAAAAAAAACAATGAGCAATTTTTTTTTAATCTTCAACTAATAATTTTAGGCTGGTATGAATTTTGTGAATGAAAACAACTAACATTAGCCTTTTTCACATCAAATGGGTGACATTCTACATGCAAACAGCTCTGAGGAACTTTCCCCCATTGATATACAGAACAGCACTATTTCATTCTTGTGTCTCTTTGTGGAAGTAGTTGTTGTTTTTCCCTTTTATAGCTCTTCATTAGAATGTGAAAAGGGAGGTTTGGGGACTGAGAGAGTGTCTTCTGGCCAAATATTGATTAAGTAGGTGTTTGCAGAGGCTATTGTTGTGGTGGAGAGAGGCCTGTTGCTCTCTGCCCCTTTCTCCTCTACTACTATTGTTGTCTTTCCTTAAGTGCTAAGATCAAAGCTGACTCATTTAGATTTATTTGTCTGGGAAAAGGACTGCTTAGGTTTGTGGGATAAAGTTTACTGAGCTGCCCCAGGTCTGCATGGCATTAGCAAGTGGCTAGAGCATTGTGGGAAAAGGATGTTTGCTGGGATGAATCTGAAGCTAAGTTGTTTACATCTCTTTTATCTGTTGAGTTATGGAGGAAGAATCTACTCTGGTTTAAACAGTTTTAACAGCAAGTTGAGCTCCCACTTGACAACAATTATTTCTGCAATTTATCGCATTTGCCCAAAAAGCAGGAGAATATCCAACTCTCTGGTCTCTGGTGTATAATTTTAACTTGAAGATTAAACCCAGAAATTGTCTCTGTAATTTTTATTTGAAGACTAAACAGTCTCAAGTAATTGTTTTCTGCCATAAGTGGCATTGAATTAATTGATAGCATCCTTGCTTCCATTTTTTTTTTTACCGTTAGCACTTTAGCCTCATTTAACTAATTAAAGTAACCAAAGTCATGAAAGAGGAGTAGCCACTCTCGCAGGATTCATTTATGGCAGTGGGGGTGAAAGGGAGAAAGAAGGAGAAGAAAAAGAAAGCTCAGAAATACAAACAGTCAAAGGGGTAACTTCTCTTTAAAGGGAATCCTGCGGTGCCAAATTGAATGAGCCCAGTTCTTTCAAATCTGCCATGGTGAACGCAGTCAACATGTAATAATTGGTTTCATTGAGGTGCATTCCAACAATCTGCTGCCATTCTCCTGCCTCTATTGTCCGGAGGCAGGCAAATAGCCAGAGGGACAGGAGGAATCAAGTGCTGACAAAACATGAAAGATTTAGCTGCTTTTGTCAGAGGAGCTGAGTAGGACTTTGTTTGTGTAAATAAACTGGGTAACTGGCTCCCTGTGACGTTGGCATGGATTTAGAGTGAAGGAAATTCAGAGAGTAATGAGAGCAGAAAAATCATATTTGTGTTGGAGATTTGACCATATCTTTGAACATTTTAAAAGTGTTTGTAATACGAATTTCCGAAGAGGAAAATGATGACGGTAGCAAACTTCCACATGCAGCATACCGCATCCGAGCTAATCTAATTCGAAAGTTTCATAACCCACATTCTCATGAGTAATCTAGGAATATAAACATATGCATTTCTCTCACACGCAGGGATAGCAACAGAGCAGCACGGCAATAACCCATAACTGTAAACAGAGAGATAGATGTTGAATTTCTACAACTTGTGTCTTTGTCAGGGGTCCTCGCATTTCCACGGTAAATTGAGTTAAAGATTGGAGGTTTAGGGGAGACAGAAGGCTTCATCGCAACCAGAGGAATGTCTGCTACAGCCACATTTCCATTTTCCTGGAGGGCTGCATAATGTGGAGTTGTATATGTGGGCCTATGTTTTTCTCTTTTAATGGTTATAATGCTAACCCACAGGATGTTGTATAAATAGATAGATTGATAGATAGATAGATTGATAGATGGATAGATAGTTCCTAACCCCTTGTTTCTCTCCCCCTTTTCAAATATCAATACTCAACACTTTTACCTTCTGTGTTGGCATCACTCTCAAGGCTCTGTCTTTCTCCCCAAAGAAAGAAAAAATCCACACTGGCTGATCTGCAACTGAATGCAGACTCTATGCTTCATTAACGCCTCTTTCTCTGTTGGCACCCACATTGTGATCCTCCAATATTAATTCAAAGGACAATTAATGAATGCAGGCCAACTTTGAAGTAATGGGCCGGGGTCCTGCCCTGAGCCGGCCCCTTCGGCGCTGATGTACTCTCCACATTCTCCCCACTAACCCCAAAGACACTGTGAAGTGACTGAAAGAGAAGCAGTGAGCAATAGAAGGTCAAGGAGAGGAGCCCCAGTAGAAAAAGAGCTCTCTATTTCCTTGGAAGTATTAGCCAAGCAAAACTCTGTGATGGGGAGAATAAAGGAGTGTGAAGAGAATAGGGTCGGGGGCGAGGGGACTCTGCAAAGAGGAACACAATGGGATAGTTAATTGAGTAAAGCCAGACAGCGTTGTCAATCACTTAACTTTGTTTAGCCTCAGTTTTTGTGGAGCTGTTTGGTCCAGCACATTGCACATTATAGACACGCCAGCACAACTCTGTTTCTGATTTGATTAATGTCCCTTTTTACCTCTATAAATAAATAAAAACCTCAGACAACAGACAATTAAGGATAACAAATATAACAAAAATATATGTTTTTAAGTTATAACTATTATGTCTTACATTTGTCCAAACACAGGCTTTTAAACTGACAATACAAGTTTAAAATGTGCACTTAAAGCTCATAAAACCAATAGAAGTACACCTTCAATTGGAGACTTCAAGGTAGTGTGGAATGTGAGGATGTGTGAGTTTTTTTGCAGGGTCAGTGGTAAGGGTGCCATGCAGAAGCTGTGAAAGGTCAGGGGCTAACCGAGGGTCACTTGACTGTTAAAACTATCAGGGCCCCAGGAAAAGGAGGTTACAATAATGTTTGGGAAAAGATGACAACGGACCATCTCCATAAAATCACATCAGTGAAGCAGTGTTATTGAACCTTCCCTTTTAAGATGGGACAGCTCTGGTCTGCTGTGTGAATTATAGTACAGGTTTCTCTGTTTGGAGAGCTGGTTCTTCTGATTGAGGTGATTGGTTTGGTTGTCTGAGTGTCTGTCTAAGCGGGCTCTGCTGGTTAGTGTCCGTTTGACTGGAACGTGCGGCAGACGGGCCTGTTGCTTCGTCCCTGCGTGGGTTCTGTGCCGTTGCTTTGTCTGTGCCCCGAGGGTGGAAATGCCACCGTGAAAACCGTCACCTAACGGCACCACGGTGGAACTAAATAATAAACACTGCACACTGGGCACACATAATGGCCATGAAGGGCTTTTTGTCACGTCACCAATATTAGACTGAGATACATCTTTCAAAGTCATATCGCCAGCTCTTTCTTTGTCCGTTAAGTGCCAACCTCCTGTGCGTATTCACTCCACTTTTTCTGTCCATCACATCATCATCTCCGTCTCTCTTTCTATATATCTGCCCCCCCCCCCCCCTCCTTTTCCCGAGCAGCTGCAGGATCCTGGGGGCTCTTTAGCAAGTCAAGTGAGCAGCCCACTCACTCCCATTTTTCCCTTAACTGTTAACCCCAGCTGAGCCCATAAGCTGTCAGTTAACTATTCTTTTCCTCCAGTGCATCTGCTCGCTCTGGCTCTATGTAGCATGCCACTATTTTATTCAGTGGCCCACTCACACTATGCTCTGTGGCCTGAAAGGGCTAGATCTACTTCCCTGGGCAAATAACTAGTTCATTTGTCTCTTCTGCCCTTTGTTTTGTGTTGCGAACACATGTCAGTAGCTCAATTACCTTCTCTATTAACTGCCCCTGGAGGAAGGGCTAGCCAACCCCTACCAAGACAAGGCTATAAACTGCCCCATATGCTCCGCTTCTCCTTCTCTTTCACACTCCGGCTCTTCATCCCTGTCCCTTCCTACCATTTCTCTACCGTTCCTTCCATTTACTTGCTCATTTTGCTTCCTTTAATACCCATTTCTATATTCTCTCTGTCGCTCATTCATGTTTTTACCATTTCAAGCTACATATGTGAATTTGTGTGTGCATTTATGGGTGTGTGCGTCTTTGCATGTCTCTTCATATTAACATCTCTTGAATGGATGGAAGGAGGGGGTGAATGCTTGGCAAGAAGAGTCCTGGCTGATGTACACTCCGCAGTAAACAAGAGCAGTCTTTATTCTCGCTGTTGGACTCCTCACTCGTTCTTTTTGGCCTGTTACAGGCAGAACTGCTGCAGGTGAAGCTAATAGAACTGGACGTTCCCAAAGTTCACATCTTGTGACCCTCTGGGGTTTATCTTCCCTGCTTGTCAGTCTCCTCTCTTGATCAATACATGGTTCTGTTAACCTTAAGCGGTCGGTCTGTAGCACTGCCTTTTCCCCGCTGGTCTTTGGCTTTGTATATGTGTGTGTGCACATACACCGCTGTAAGTGTACCTGTTTAATTACATTTACTAATCAGGGAAATAAACCTGTTGAATTCACTTGTTGAATACACCACTCTAAACTATGTTAAACAAATCATGCTCAATCCAATCTGCTATTTAAATTAGCTTGTTATTAGTGTATTCATCTACATCTCACTTTGTTTTGAAATACATGTTTTATGGCTAACTCTCCAGAAGCCCCAATTTCCGCTTGAGGGATAATAATCTATCTTTCTATTAAGATTCTTGTCAGGGCCACGGGCAGACTGTGAGCGGCTATGGAGTATTTCCAGCTCCCTAGTGCTTTAGCTGCAGCGTAACATTTGATTTGGGGTGTTTAAGTAAGGAGGTCGAGGCCTCCCTTTGTGTGTTTTAGTATCGTCCTCTGCCGTTTGTCGCGGGGAATGTGTGGGAACAACCCTCTCCGAGTCCGCTTTTGCACCGGCGTGCCTTAAAAATGGATCCACGGCAGCGTAGGAGCCTTGTTTGAAGATGTCAAAGTAGTGGATGCAGCGGCGGGTGAGCACACAGAAACAGAGAAGTGAAGTGAATGGATGTGATGGAAGGGACAGGTCTGCTTTTATGAATGACCAGCACCCCCATTCTCCTTAGCTTGGCACCCCACACCCCTTCCCCTGCATCTTCTTCAGGTGCCTTCAGCCTCCCATCTCCTCTCCGTGTCAACCTCTTCAACTCCCCCATCCCCCCGGCTCTGTGCCCCTCAGGCCGTGGAGGGAGGGGATGAAGGGGTGCTCCCCTGCTGTGCCCCTCCACAGCCCCCAGTGGCCCTTCTCTGGACCCCTTTGTGCCCCCCCTTTTCCCCTCCCACCCTTCATTCCCCCACTCAGCCCCTGGCCTTACAGCCCCCATCTCACCCTACAACCCCCCCCGCTCTCCCCTGCTGGGCAGGTGACAGACCCCTGAATGCGGGCCCGGGCGTCCCTGATGGCTCCTACAGATGGAGCGTGGTAATCGGTCCAACAGAGGCCTGCCACAGGCTTTTCCCTGCTAAGATACAAAGGCCTGGCCTCATCACTTCCAAAAAAAAAGACAGCGAGTGTGAGAGGAAGAGAGCAAAAGAGAAAGTGCAAGCCAGAGGATGACAAAAGCAACAATGTCATTTGCCATTAAGGGAGAGTCTGTGACGGAGTGTTTTCTCTGTAGTTACTAATAATAAAAACAGGGAGGGGAAAAAGAGAGGGAAAGACAGAAATAAAGCGGGCAAAGGAGGAGAGACCCACCCCCACCCTGCAGTTAACATGAGTTACAGTGCCAATGGGGAGCTTTCTCCTCTCAGGAGTTTTATGAGCTCTCCTTCCCTCCCTTAGGAATCCTTTCCTTTCTGCGCCGTCATTGGTTCCCTGTCTTTTCCTTTCTCTTTCTTTCAACATCATTAAAATGGTAATGACATTGCATTTAACTTTGCTTGCTGTTTCCCAAAACCTGCTCTAGTTATGTTTACGTGCTGATTATTAGAAGTTTGACTTACTAATCCAAACAATATTGATGTTTGAAAATCTGCTTACAGAAAAAGTATCAAGTGTTCCTGCTGTGTGGCCTTCTCCTTATGGCAGTGGCTCTATCAAATGAGCTCCAACTGCTCTCAAGCCACATCCTTACCTAAACAAACCACATCCCAAACTCTCCGAGCAAGTTCCAGGAGGATCTTAGCATGAAGCCAATCCTCTGTGAGACTTGATGTCAGCGTGGCGCCCTTGGTTCAAATGTAATAAAGAGCTCTTCGCATCAGAATCTTGTGTGCTGGCGGGCCGAAGCACAGCAGCATTCCCAGGGAGCAAATCCGTGTGTAATGCCTGGTCAGACACACACTGGCAACCGGCACAAACATTTCCTGCTTGGCTCCAGAGGCTCCAGAGGCTCCAGAAGCAAGGGGAGATCCCTGATACCCCCCTCCTTGTCTGACTTGGCACTTTTTAATTAAAGCTTTCAATCTGGAGGGCAGAGAGAGAATGAGCAGTCTGGGGGCAACAGGCGAGCTTCAGTCCTCTGCTGAAGCCTTTCTGTTGCCTCCACCTGTCTCTCTGCTTTTGGGGTCTCGTCTTTTCTTTTCTTTAGCGTAGGTGCTAGCATGCATAGTGTCAAAAAGGTGCAGTGAACCTTCCTCATGAGAGGTCCCTCTGGGGTGGATTTGGGAGTGGATTCCAACTCTTTCTGTCTTGTGTCCATCTGTGTTTGACACATTGTCATAGGCCGCGTTCATTGAGTGAAAGCTCATAGCCGAGACGCAGCAGATGCATGTTTGTGAGTGCGGAGGACTGAGAAAGAGATGGGGGATTGCAGACATGTAATGGCCGACAATGGCAGGCTGTCACGCTAGTTTACGGAGCCTAATCATTTCTTAATAGATGGGAAACCTCCCCCCGAAAGGCAGAAAAAGTCCTCTGTCTCTGGTCTCAGGCCTTCATTGATTCCCCTCTTCTGCTGAATTAGATCCCAATGGCTGTCTCCAAGTTACCCAGTCGCTCTCTCCTGCCCTCAACTGAACAAACAGATTAAGAAGCACCTGCAAAAGGCTGCCTTTTCTTTACTATGGGACCCTATCGGCGCAGCGCACAGCATGGCTAAGACTGAGAGAGACACAGTGTCCCAGGGAATAGAAGCCCCAGAGGGATCTAGCCCTCTTTAATCCATGTTCAAGCAGCCTCTGGCTTTTGATCCCCTCAGGCACCACTGAGGAGTTTAAGGAAGGACACAATCCAAATCTGCTCTGTACAATGTGTTACACTCAGCAAAACCCTTTGTCTCCAATCTGTCCCTGCTTAGTATTTACCCCTGGGTTTTCTCAGCCTCATTCCCTTGAATGTAGAAGTAACAGTGTGTTTGTTTTTTCAATTCCAGCCAGTCACTCGGACGAGGGCTCAGACGTGGACTCTGAGCCAGGCCTGCCTCTGAAGAGGAAGCAGCGTCGCAGCCGCACCACCTTCACAGCGGAGCAGCTGGAGGAGCTGGAGAGGGCCTTTGAACGCACCCACTACCCCGACATCTACACACGGGAGGAGCTGGCTCAGCGGGCCAAACTGACGGAGGCTCGAGTTCAGGTTAGACAAATGCACAGACTCTCTCTTCAACCACAGAGTCTTGACAGCAAAGATATGTGTCGATCTGTCATGGATATGTGTCTTGTGGGTGTTAAATTGCCTTGGGTTGTTGCCACACATTCCTTACAGCTATTAGACATGTGTCCCCCTCGACCCTACGCTTGACCCCCCTTCTACACATGTATAGACACAGACAAACTCAAGTACACTGCGCCCACTGTGTATGAAGACGGCTTACTATTTGTGTCAGACACTCTACAAAAAGATCTATGTATAGATCTTAAAATAGATGTCTGATTTAGATTGTGTGCTAATATAGGCTTTAACAGCTGTTACCCAATGAACCCATTAACTTGCAGTAGCACACAAAGATGTAATGTCTGTGGTTTCACTGCACGCTCCAGATGTTTAGATCTCTATCAGTTTAGCCCTTTAATGGGTCAGAGAGGCCCCATACCCACACACGCACACACATATTCAAAACACCATGCACTCTTACATATGTACTGTACAATTAAGCTTATTCTATCAAGTTAACATATACATCAAACTAAAACCACTTATTTCTGTTCTTCTCTCAGGTGTGGTTCAGCAACAGAAGAGCTCGGTGGAGGAAGCAAGCAGGAGCCAATCAGCTGATGGCGTTTAACCACCTTATCCCCGGTGGTTTCCCTCCGTCAGCTATGTCGGGCCTGCAGCACTATCAGCTTTCCGAGAGCCCCTACACTCCCACTTCTATATCTCAAGGTGGGTTTAGCTGAACACACCCAAACAAACTTAATGTTTATGTTTTTACATTTTTTTATTTATACAAATCTGATGACACAAATTCTAAAATGATTGTATAAAAGCAGCCAAAGTATATCGAATCAAACCATAATTTGATATTAAAGTATAATGTTTAATTCCCTGCAGCGTCCGAGCAGCCCAGTACCGTCCACAGACCGCAGCCCCTGCCCCCCACCTCCGTGCATCAGAGTGGGCTTGGTTCCTCGGCCGGCTCCCAGGATGGAAGCTCTGCGTACTGCCTGTCCTCTGGACGTCACGGCTTCTCAGGATACTCGGACAGCTTTGTGACCCAACCAGGACACACCAACACTGTCAACACCGCCATCGGAAACAGCCTATCACCACAGGTTTGTCTCCTTTATTAAAATACAACATTAAATAGAAACACACACAACTGTGAATGTCGGCCTCCATGCACATACTCGTATACACACATACAATCTGCCTCACACACACACACACACCAGGAAAGGGGACATTAATAGTTCTTCACGGTGTTTATGAGGCGCACCATATGGAAGGATAATGATACACACAAACACACACTGTGTGTGACCCAGGAGGTGTCATTGCGGTGACATTGATGAAACCTTGTTAGGCCAAGAAACACGGTAGCTTTTCATTTTTATTTATTCTGATGGGCTGTTTGATGAATTTAAAATGTGGCAAACGTCAGTCTTTGGGGAGGGAAAGGGACCAGACATGAGGAAGGATGTATGGATGTCGACGATGACACAAATCAAAACTGAAAAGACAATTATGGTCGATTACACAGTCATCAGTGTCCATCACTGGCTCCCTACCAGCTCAGAAGATGGACTAACAGGCGGAAAACGAGCTTTTAACCGCCACAAAGGGTGGCCGGCCCTCATGCAATGCATGCTGGGTACTAATACCCATGAGAGAGATTCTCAGACTCCTGTCAGGCACAGATAAAAAACAGCCTCAGGCAGGATAGTTTCTATGTGAATGCCTGAGGATGTATATATATTGGGGGAAAAAGAAGATCTTTGTTGTGGCTGCCAGGGTGCACGGTCAGAAAGTGGTCGGTGGCACCATTGAGGCCGAGTATAATTAATGGCTTTGATATATGAGCTCTAGTTAAGGAATGGATTTTGTTGTTTCCCCCTAAAGAAATAGCCACACTTTTAAATCATTATTCTTTCTGGATTTCGGATTTTTTTTTCACTGGCAAAAGTATAGAGAGACATGGGAGGGTGAAGATGACATGATGAAGGTTGTGAGTGACAGTGGTTTATGGTTTTAATCGTAGCATAATTAGCTATCTTGTAACCTGCTAATAGCTGCTATCCTGTAAGTGAGCGCATATCCTTGGTGTGAGTTGACACATCCACGGGGTCACCAGGGACTTTAACTCCAATAAAAAGGCCAAAGGTGCTGCGGCCTCATGGATGGTTTCAGCATTAACCTCAGTGGACATCTCATCTTGCGCGGGGACGTCGGCAGGCCTGGAATGTTGTCTCCGTCTGGAATTGCAATCACAGAATGTTCCAGTGTCTTAATTGATTGGAATGAAGTAATCTATCCCCTCGTAACAAAGTGTGTAATTTATGCAAATGACTCACTTTGTTGGCTAATTTGTTTTAATTCATGTATTCATTGCAGCTGTTTGAATGTATATTGCAATACAGTTTTCTCCATTTCAGACGGGGATATAATTAATTCCCTGATTTTAACTTAATAAGAGGGAGGAAATGAGGATTGATTAAATTCTCTGACATTGATGGTTAATACATGAAGACCTCTCTGCACTTAAAAAACTTTACAGCTTCAATTTCCTCCACTGGCTTCGCAGCTTGGTCTATGTTGTGTGAAATTCTTTCTGGAATTATCGGACTATCTGAACTTTGAATCTGTCTATTGAAGCCACTCAATCTACTTCTGTATCCATAAGGAGATTCAGAGGTTCAGTTAACTCCAGATACGGTCACATTTGAGCGCCATGCAGTTTCGATATGGATAAGGTTGACTTTAGATAGGGGATATTGTTGTCGGAGCAGTTAGCGCTGTATTTGGAGCTTCAGTCAGGCCAGAGGTTTCCCTGTGGTGCGGGGTCTCTGGCGTCTCACCGCTGATCTGGTGCATACCAAAGGAACCCTTTCTCACCAAGCAAGCGAGCGGCCGGGATTTGCACCCCCCTGAGACCTAATCCCCGGAACAACCTCAAAACAGACACCATCGGGAACTGCTGCCGTTTCAGTTGCAGACAGAGAGTGCATGAACGCATGAGCGTGTAGATAGACACAGACCCTCTGACACAGGCATGCACTCTCTCGTACACACACATAGCAAACATGTATGAAGTTTGAAGGAGTATGGCTAAGCATCACCTACTAAAGAGGAAAACCATAAAACATATTTAAGTGTGTGGTAGCAATAATGTCATTTTCTGATGCTTCAACGGTTAAGGCAGCAGGGAGATTTATGAGTAACTGAATTGAATTTGTATTTTCTGGAGATCATGCACCTTCATTTTAGAAATACTCACATTGCAATGGAGTATTTCAACGGTATATCACAAATTCTTAACAGTGAGATGAATGAATGTTCGTGGTAGGCCACATTAATTTGTTCCTCAGATGTGTGAGGTCAGATAACTCTGACAGACAACTGTAAATTACCTACATTAAAGAGTCCTGTGTGTTCATGTGCATGTGTGTGTGCCAGCTGGCTGTCAGTTGGGAAAGCCTTATTTTAACATTACTCAGAGATAGTTATTCTAGGATTTATTTTTAAATAAAAAACCTTTAAGGTTATTTTCAGTGCATTTTGAGTTGGCTTTAGATTTATTTTCTTTCCTACATGGACTGTAACTCTTGTTCTCTCTTTAACTTCACTTTTTAGACATTTTTGTGACTTTGCTTCTCACGCAAACCTATGTGCAGCTGTTCACGATCTATCACTGATACCCCTACACCCCTGACATCAGAGCAAAAAATGCTTATATTACACATGACCGTGCGCTCACACACACACACACACACACACACACACACACACACACACACACACACACACACACACACACACACACACACACACACACACACACACACACACACACCACACACACACACACACACACACACACACACACACACACACACACACACACACACACACACACACACACACACACACACACACACACACACACACACACACCTACTGTTAAATACACAACTCCACACATAGGCAGAGGTAGCTCTCACACACAAACACGCTCTACTCCTCGTTCCCACGTACCCTTTGGCCTCTTCACCCTGGCCTCACAAGGACACGGTGATTTTGGGGCATCAAGAGAGAGGGAAAAACAGACAATAAGAAAACAGACACAATACATCAGTGAACACACACAACATTTTTGAATTCTGGTTGAAAGGTATCACATTCTAACAAAAGTGTTGTTGAAATATATATCTTATGTTATGTAAAATAAGCCGAATTTCTATTTCTTTTTTTGTAATCAATTTCCTTTGTAACACAATGCTAGAAGCATAGCAGCATTATGATAAGAAAAATGTAAGTGAAAAAATACCTTCTATATCCATACATTTGACAGGATTATTCTAACAGAAGCCACTAGTGAGCTAAAGGATTGAAGTCTTTAGCCACCATCAGCTCCCCAATCAGTCAAGCAAAGTAAAGGGAAACCACATGTGTGAGGGAAGCCAGTAATAATGTATTTCTGAAAATGAACAAGGAGAGGGTCTACACTTTGGGCCACCCGAGTCGGTTGGAAAAGTTGATTGAATGGTTATTTTTCAGTGAAGAACTTTGCCATGTATTTCTCATTTTGAATCAATCATTAAATTAGTTCAATAAGTGTGTTACTTTGTGATTTTCTAGTCCAACCCCCTAACTCTTCCTCCATTTCCCCCCTCAGGTAATGGGCCTATTGAATCCAGGTGGAGTGCCACATCAGTCCCAGGGTGACTTCGCCCTCTCCCCGCTGACCGGAGGCCTGGAGCCTAACGGTGGCATGGCTGCCAGCTGTCATGGCTCCCAACGCTTGGAGGCTCTACCAGGCCTGACCAGTATGCCCAGTCTGCCCAGCACCCAGTCTTACTGCCCACCTTCATACACCACCCAAGCCTACGCCATGGACCACCACCCATCCTACCAGTACGGACAGTACAGCCAGAGCAAGGTATGCTTGAAAACGTCATTCTTTACTAGTGATTACTTAGTGATGCATTCACAAACATAATAAAAGTTCAATCACAAAAATAATGGAGATATGGTGAAAGGTAAACCCTGATAACTATTAAGCCGATAGTATTTCAAATGTATGTTTACTAACACATTGACATCATTTCAAAAAAAGAAGGTATTAGAAAATAACACTTACAACGTACAAAAGAAACGTAACTAAGACTTTAATAATGAACAACCTTAAGTACCTAATGGTCCAAAAACATTTAATCAGTCTACATTTTGACATAAATATTTTAAATACAATAAATAGAGCCAATTAGATAACTTTCAGAGTATCTAATTGAGAAGTCCCCAGCTGTTTGGTTTCTAAACTGGAATTCGAAATGATCTATACTTGATTAGAGGTTATGTGCCTCTATGAAGTCCTTCTCTGTCTATGTGATTTAGTTTATGTTTTCTATCTCACAACCCAAGCTAATTGCGCATAGCCCTCTGATGAGTGAGCTTCTCAAATCACCCTGCGCTGTGCTGAAATTACATGTATGTTAGAGCCAGGTTACCTCAGTTTACATTACCATCATCCGACAATCCACGTGGCCTGATGCAGAGGCATGTCCGGGTCACATCCCAACACACACATTTTCACTCACTGTCCTTTCATGACCCCATATGATGAGCTTGCCCATCAAACCCCCGGTATAGCGCACCTAGCCATGTAATGACCTCTGTGTAACAAAGATAGCCGCCCAAATGAAAGGAGCCACTTCCCAAAGCGTGTTTGACAGGAGGCAGGGGAGAGCGCGGTGTGTTTCTGGGGCTGATCTGAACTACACTACCACATGTTGACCGGCCCATCAGTGGCAACATCTTGATGTCATTAATTTAGCCGGTCCTGGGAGAGACCGAATTTTGGGGGTTTGAGGAAATGTGTGTGCCTGTGTGTATATGTGAGCGCATGTATGTATGTGTATGTGTATAAAAGGAGGCTCTTTAGCAGGGGGCGATTATGGCCCTTGGCAGGCCAGGATTAGAACCATGTGTCCTACTGGAGGTCAGATTTAGAGTTGTTATTGATCAGTGCTGCAGAGCTACAGATCCAGGCTAAGGCTCTGTCTCAGGATAGTTTTACCCACCACATTAAGTTCAAAGAATGTCTAAGAAGATTCCCAAAGCTATTCACCAGTTTTATTATTTAACCTAGGACCCCAGTTTCCATTCTCACCTGCTCCCATGCGCTCTTAAAAATCTCATCCTTCTTTCACAGTATTACACCTCTCACTTAAGTTCACGTCGCACACATATTGCTATATTAACCAACAGAGAATGTAAGCATTTGAATTAGAGAAATGCAGAGAAACTCTTTAACGCTGCTACTGTCTTTCCTTGTTGTCCTCAGGTGCCTTTCATTATATGAAGCCCCCAACATGGCCTGAACAGGAGTCTTCCCTGACATTCACCGCTAGAGAACACCCCCACCCGCTGCCTTTTGCCTAACCGCCCCAGCCCCGAGGACATTAAGAGAGCGGACGGGTGGGTAAAGGGATTGAGATGTTCTAGTCCAGCAAGGGAAGCAGTTGAGATGAAGGTGGTGGCGATGGAGGGGGTTGACTGGAATAATTAGGACCAAAGGCGCAGCCTCTCCTGTTACCTGGCAATCGCTTTGCTTTTGTGTCACGCTCCAAGGACCAAGCGCGGCTCGTTGTCCATGCCTAAATAAGAAGAGAAGAGGTGGGGGGTGGTGGGGAAAGGAAAGTAAATACATTCAAGATTCTGTATTTGATTTTTGTAATAAGTGCCAGAGAGGGAGGTGGACTTTGGAAGCCCCCTGTGCTCCTGGGGTCCAACTTGATAGGGGAGGGGCATATTCTTATGGTTGTCAAAAGGCTGTATGGTGATAACATGTTGTGCTCAGCCACAATGTTCTTCTAAGGGTCTCTTCATCACAGTGTCTTAGAAAAAAATATTTCCTGTACATTGAGGCTTGTTTAAGACTTTAAAAAAAACGATTACACCCGGGGAAAAAACAGCTGAAAGGCATAAATGGAGGGCGAATGGAGTCATAGTGAAACCACTGCAACCCAAAGAAAGTGCAATACATTCATACCTCATGTGATGTAAATTAACACGGATCAAATGTCCCTGATAATACCCTCAGAAAATATGCTCTCTTTTTAATGTCATTCATTTTGGGTTGTGTGCATTGATCAATCAGGGGAAATCATCAAGTGATGAGAAATAGCAAATGTAGTCGTGATGTCGTTAAGCCAAAAAATTCTCTGCCAGTGAATACATTATTCAGTTTGACAGTTAATTTTTTATTTTTATTTTGCATGTGTTAAGTTAGTTTTCACCAGGAACTTGCAAACATTAGTTCCATTTCTTATTTATTTAGCATTGTTCAAGTGTTATGTCTCTTCTGTATGTTTTGTATAAAGTGCTCTTAAGTGCTTAAGTCTTACACAATGTTCCTTATACATGTTTTTTCTTTTGTATAATTTCCATTTCCATTGATGTAAAATGATTTTGTTGTAAGAAGTTTTGTGTACAATACAGCACTATTTACTATTTATAATAAACTATATAAAATTGTACAAAGTTATGATTTTGAGTGTCATTAATGGGATTCAAAATAAATGGGATTTTATTTATAGCATTTATAGACTCAACATGTTTGGATAAGACTCAAATCAATCATTAAATAAATCAATTATGTAAAAAGGCCTCAGAATTTTGCTCTCGGAATTTAAGAAAGGCTTTTAAGCAAAATGTAGACTTTCATTTCCAGACTTTCAAATTAATTTTAGAGAAAGCATGATTGAACAGAAAACCAGATAAATACAATATGGAAATTAAAGTATTACAACTCATTTGAAGAATGTTCCTCTTCTTTTACTCTGTTAAACTCAAACATTTTATTTTTTTCTTCCCACTTTTAACATGCCAGCTGTTACCCCCTCCTATCTAAATGTGGATGAGCAGGATAGTGACAATACACACTGAGAGCTGCACACTCCTTGAGCACTAAATCATAAATATATCCCCTTTCATAAACACTCCTTTTGGACAAATTCCTGCTCCCTAGGGGCTCCTTCACACCCCTAATGACTAAAGCAGAGCTGCTGTAAATTATATAAGCACAGCGGCCCATAGTCACACCAGGACATCAGTCACTGACATGGCTGTGCAGAGTTCAGAAGGGTTTTGGCTCTCACTGCCGAACAGAACGGGAAAACACTGTTCACCCAGTTGGCAGACTCCTCAAAAGGTTACAGATATCACCGGTGCATTTTTATCACTCCCTTGTCTGGGTTTTTTCCTTTCTTTTTTGTAGGTTTAGGGATCAGGTATGCAGCTGTCCATGTCATTCATGGTATAAAGTGTCCACGCATGAGAATACACTGCATGTTTGTTATGTTTTAAAACATTTCACTGCATGTATTATGTTTGTTTGCATGTTTATGCTCAGTGTCCAACACAGCTAACAGATAAGATCAAGGCAAGATCACATTTCACTATTTTCTTTACCCTCTACAAACTTTTCTTTAAACTTTTTTTTCCTTTTTTTACAAGTGCTCAACTTGTAAGACACAATGAGTGAGAAAGCCAAAGGGATTGCTTTGGAGTGGAGTGTCAGTCAAGCAGCAACACACTGGAGACAACTTAACCTCTGACCCCTACACTCTTTGAAATGAGTAGACTACTTGACCGGAGCTGACAACAATCCAAGCGTCTCTGCAGCTTCCAAGACCCCAAATTGAAAGTGAAGGAAGGAGCACAAAGAGGCCGGCCAAAAAAAAAAAAAAAACATAGGAAAAAATAGTTGAAAGGGAGCTTTAGAAGATACTGTGAGCAAAAATGTGCTAGAAGAATTGTAATCTTAGAGTTTTTGACGGATTCAGATTCATTTCTGATGAAAGATTTGTGGAAATCCTTTTCAAAACGAGGTCATTGCTGTGCTTCATGATATTTCGGCTGCATCCAATAGGACAGAAAAGGATTGGGCTTTATCTCTGAAATACCCCCTTATCAAGTCTCTTGAAGAGTGGGTGGATGACTCACAGCATGCCTTTCCTAAAGTACTGAGTGCCTGCCTCTCAAACTTTCCATCTGTGGTCCTTCCTCAGTTCCCCTTTCCATTTTCTGTCTAATGTCTATTTTGTTGCCGTCAGGTCTGTGTCCACCTTGTATTTTGGGATGAAACTCATGAACCGGACCCTCCTGCTGTCTCTTCTCTCCAGATGTAATCAGATTATGGAGGACTCTGGTATGGACATCAATCGACAGCAAATCAACATGACTATTTCCAGCACCACAGTGAGTCCTCTGTCCAGCACCAGTCCAGTGCCCCCCGCCTCCAACTCCAGGGACTCTTACGACAATGCTTACTTTTACATCCTGTTTGTCATGATCTTTTACTCCTTCATTGCCATGGGACTTTTTAAGTGCTTAGGCAGGGATGACGAGAAGGACCCCTACAAGGAGTTCATAAGCACTGGACCGCCGTCAACAGAAAAATTCAACACAGGCCACATGGAGGAGAAGTTTTACTTTGAAGAGGAGAGCAGCCTGTTTGAGCCACAGGCTTTGTAAGGAGAAGGAGGGAGGGTATGAAGGCATGGGGGATGTTTTGACAGTCACCAAGCCAGAAAAACGTCAGAGCGGACTACTCAGACAAGACCTGCTAGTGATTTTGCAGAAAAACCTGTAGTAAGTTCATTTTTTTCCCCCTTCTCCCTCTTCCATCTGACAATCAGAAATCTCACGCAAGCAAGCAGGCTGGAGGAGACGGCTGCCTCTGATGATCTGAGAGAAGGGTGGAAACATGGAGAAGCGTGGGTCAATGGCAGGCCGGAATCTCCTCCTGTGAGGCCCAATCAGGATCAATAACACCGGGGCCTTCGACATGCACACACCACAGGGAACCAGGGATACCTCAGCAGACTGATGGTGTGGACAGCACGGACACTGTGTGTGTGTGTGTGTGTGTGTGTGTGTGTGTGTGTGTGTGTGTGTGTGTGTGTGTGTGTGTGTGTGTGTGTGTGTGTGTGTGTGTGTGTGTGTGTGTGTGTGTGTGTGTGTGTGTGTGTGTGTGTGTGTGTGTGTGAGTGTGAGAGAGAGATTATTGACCTGCAATTGGATTTTCCATTCACTGAAATGTAATTTAACTGGACATACTGAAGAAATTAAATAAGGGTTACACATTATTTTAATTAATTTCAGATACAAGCATTGACAGGCATTTATATATGGCTTCAGTATATATGTAAATATTAATAATTAGTTTATTTAAATCTGGATAAAAAAAAGTATACTTGCGTAATTTCACTTTAAGGTGTGCAATAATTGCATCATCAAGCAGTTCTGCATACAGTAGTCAAGATATGTGCCTATAAAATGTAAATGCATGCACACGATGTTTCTGAAGAAAATAAAATGACACTCCAGTCTCAAATTGGTTGTAATTAGTGGCAAAAGCGCCACGCAACAGCCTGGACTGAGCGACATTCCTTTGCCATTACATTGTAACTGATCTTTGGAGACTGGACGCACGGCTACAGGGCCGCTCCAACCTCGCAGTGACCCCATATGATCTAAGTTTACAAAGCTGTGGCGAAACATGAACCCGAGACTCACTCCGTAGAATTAACTTCAATTGCGCAGCGGGATTGTGGAGAGGAGTTTACAGAGAACACACGCTTCTGATTTGCACCACAAATCTGAGAAGGTACGAGGACGCGTCAGATGTGCAGACTGGCAGCTGGACAGGTAGGTTACAGTGGGATCGCGCAAATGCATCAAAGAAATAAGAAGTTAACTCGCTTTTTCCCCATTAATTTAAAACATCCGGGTCAGAGGTGACAATGCTGGTCTAATTTGAACTATCCGCTCATAGAGGTCATGCCGGTCCCCGGGGCCATGTGGACCTGTTTCTTCTTCTCCCCTCATAATTACATTTTTGTCTCATCCTCCCCTTGAAGTGCTGGGGTCACCACGTGTAAATCCTAAACAGCCAAACAACCCTGCCTTGATGTTCTGTGCTAGCATCCCTAAACATTTAACTCTGAATAGACAGTGACTGAACAGCCTAGCCTATGTGTTTTTATTTGTATTTAATTGTAACAAAAGTGAGAGGCCTACTGATCGTTAGTGTGTGTGTCCCCCTAGCTGTATCCACACAAAAATCCCCGTAACCAGATTACATTGATAATCATTAATCAATAGAAAGTATTACATAAACACGTCCATATTAAGTAGCCTATATTGTTTTGATATATTCGAGGAGGAATAGGGGAAGTTATTTGATCTTTAGCATATTTTAGTGTTGCATCATGATATCTATGATCATCAAACAAATATGACATAACAGCATAGTTTCGAAATGTAGGCTATTTGAATCATCATCATATCTACTGGCAGCATAGGATTATGACAAAGCCACATTTAAAAAAACTGATTAGAGCTGCATTTTAACTCTATTTAGTTTATAGAAGCAGACACAACAGACCCAAGCCCTAGGAAACTATGATAAATATTAAAGTGTTCGTCAGAAAAAAAAAATTATACAAGAGAAACTGAGTTTGAAAGGGACAGGTGCTGTAAAGTTGAGGAATACAAATATTATATTCCAGCTATGATAGAGGGTCTTGTGATACTGTTACTTAATGACGCTTATTAGCAAATAGCATGAACTACGATAAAAGACAACTTTTAAAATAACATCTTCATCACATCTTCAATTTCAAAGTAGAGACTTTTAGGTGCTGAGACATTTGAAGAGTGAAAGGTGCCAGAAAACACATTTTTGGTGAGAACCTGTGTGTATGCCGCCATCTGCTGGTGAAGATTTGA